CTTTGTGGCAAATAAATAAATAATAATAAATGTTAAAAGCAAGCACTCAAATTGGATTTTATAAATCATGCATTTATCTAAAACTGTAATTTTTTTATTTTTTTTTTCAGAGATTCAAGACTACTTTCAATAGGAGCTGGAGCGGATGAAGTCATGCTTGCAATCATATGCAAATATATGGGAACTCTTCCAAATAAAAAATAAATCCCTCTAATAATGTTAAAGTCCAAACTGAAAAGTTAAAAGATCAACTTTATCAAATTAACAAAATTGTATAACACAAAAAGTCAATACAAATTTTATTAGAATGCTCCAAAATCTGAGCATGTCAACAAAATAAGATGTTTATTTTAATTCCTATGCCTTTATATTGTAATATTGTTTTCATAAAATGTCTGTGAATTAGGCATGACTCATATTTCTAGGTGGCCAAGCAACAGCGTTGCAGGACAAACTACTGTTTTTGTTCAAATTTTTGCTAGTAGTTTTATGATTAACCACTTTTTAAAATTCCTATTAAAAACCAAACCATTAATACATAACTCTTAAAACTACATGTAATGGTAGAGACGTATGGTACGCTATATCCTTTGCCAAAACAAGGCTATAGGTACATCTCTTGGTCATCTTGAGTTTGGTGATCAATTTTTTGGCTTAGCCACCTATATCACATGGTTTTACAGTCATTTTTTGTTTGCATCTAATTTTGCACAATATTAAAAGAAAGAAATTCTTCTACTGGACTACAGATCTGTAACTTTTGTTAATTATTAAATTATGATGTGTGATTTAGATTCAGATTTGTTCAAGAGAAGTTTGGACACATGATTCAGCAGTTATATTGGATTGCTCGAAATTCTTTTAACATCTTCTTTCCTAATACTAATTGTTAGAACCATGCAAATTTTGGCACACATGTCCACGGTCATGTTTTCTAAAAAAACTGTTCGTTGGGAAAATGAGCATACTAGAGAGTATGTCCACAGCTAGGTCTCTATCATGGCAGCTTAAAGGAAGTTAATATTAAAACCAAGATGGCAACCATGAGCCAATTACCTTCAAGAATATATTTGCATTTATTTCATTAACAAGCAATATTACAACGTGTTAAAGATATGATTTCTCAATCTCACAAATGTCTTAGCTAATATGAGGATCAGTCTTCACAAAGGCCAGTAGACATTTACTTTTTTGTATATGACTTTTCTACATGCATTATCTACGCACGTGCTATTTCCATGCTTTTATATTTGGCCAATGTGGTTGTTAGCATGAAAATGTCACAAATGTTTAAATATATTATTTAAATGTCCATAAAATCAAAACTGCTGAATAAAAACTTTTTAAGATTAAAGTTGTCATACATTTATATAGGGAACTCTGCCATCTTCAATAGGCAGCCCATATCTCGAGCATTCTGGAAGCTAACTTAAATACTTATGTCCACCAGAATTGCTTTTTGCCGCTATATTTTTCTCGGTTTTTGGAAATAACTTTTGTTTTGCATCTACGGTTTCACAAGACAGATAGTTTAAATAAATGTTACTGATGCAGGTAGCTACAAATGACAACTTTGGAAATGCATAATTTGGATTTTAACGCTGTAACTCTCTCTGTTCTAGCTAGAGAAACATTAAAGTGGCCATGTCCTGAATTCACTGGACAACTGTTTGCTGTGTCTGGAGAGAAGATGGCTTTAAACTAGCGACACAGAAAAAAAAGCTATGTAGGTTGTATAGAGAGGAGGTGAAACACGTGTGAAACTTATGGGGGGTAGACATGGGGCAACTGGTGAAATTAGTAAAGCAAGTAAGTTGCTATTTGATCGTTTTTAATAAACTACAAAACAATGATGGGTACCCTTAAATATCTTCTTGTAAATGCTATAGGCTTGATGAACAAATTGGAGGTGGTATTAATGATAAGTGCAGGATGAATCTCATAATTTAGCAGGTAATTTAAAGGGACACTACACCCTGTTCCAAATTATTATGCAAATTATATTTTTCTCATTTACCTAAATAATTGATGTAAATAACAGTCAGCATAATTCTCATTTTATCAACTATTAAGAGTACAATTCAAATTTTATTGAACAAACCTCCTAATGATAACAGTATTTATTTTAAACATAAAAAACTTACAATGCACTCTTCCAAATTATTACACACAGTAAGTTTCAAAACACTTTATAGGTTGTAAAGAACTGAAAATTGTCATTTGTTGTGTTTGCAGCATATTTACGGAAATCAAAAGCTATTTTAGTCAAACATGTAACATCATTTTAACTTTTTAAACATTTTAACAGGTCACGTTACATTTTAACATAGGACCCCTTATTTGATAGCAGCTTCACAAGTCTTGCATCCATTGAACTTGTGAGTTTTTTGACAGTTTCTGCTTGAATTAGTTTGCAAGATGTCAGAATAGCCTCCCAGAGCTGCTGTTTGGATTTAAACTGCCTCCCACCCTCATAGATCTTTTGCTTGAGGATGCTCCAAAGATTCTCAATAGGTTCTCAATGGAGGCCACACCATGACTTTCTCTCCTTTTATCCCCATAGCAGCCATTGATGCAGAGGTATTCTTTGCAGTATGAGATGGTGCATTGTCATGCATGAAGATGATTTTATTACGGAAAGCTTAGTTCTTCCTTCTGTACCAGGGAAGAAAGTGGTCAGTCAGAAACTCCACATACTTTGCAGAGGTTATCTTTACACCTTCGGGGACCCTAGAGGGGCCGACCAGCTCTCTTTCCATAATTCCGGCCCAAAACATGACTCCACCACCGCCTTGCTGAAGTCGCAGCCTTGTTGGAACAAGGTGGCCGTCCACCAACCATCCACTACTCCATCCATCTGGACCATCCAGGGTTGCACGGCACTCATCAGTGAACAGGACTGTTTGAAAAGTAGTCTTCATGTATTTTTCTGCCAAATGCAGCCGTTTCTGCTTGTGAGCATTGTTTAGTGGTGGCCAAATAGAAGGTTTATGCACAGTTGCAAGACTCTGGAGGACTCTACACCTTGATGTCCGTTGGACTCCAGAGGCACCAGCAGCTTCAAATATCTGTTTGCTGCTATGTAATGGTATTGATCTGATGCATGGATCTGGCAGAAATCTTCCTCAATGCGCCTTTATCTGCACAAATCAGTCTGTGCTCTGAATCAGCCACAAATCTCTTAATAGTGCGATGATCACGCTTACGTTTTCGTGAAATATCTAATGTTTTCATACCTCGTCCAAGGCATTGAACTATTTCACTGTTTTTGGCAGCAGAGAGATGCTTTTTCTTCCCCATATTGCATGAAAATGGTGCTCTCCTCTCCTTTAGTAGTTTTTTTCTTAAATTGGGCTCACCTGGCAATCTAATTATCACTGGTGTCCGAGATTGTTTTCAGTGACCAAAAGAGCCCTGAGACACAATGCCATCCATGAGTTAAACTGAAAAACAAAATATTTAATCTTTGTGACACTTAAATAGAATTTGCATAATAATTTGGAACAGGGTGTAGAGTCACCAGAACAACTACAACTTATTGCATTTGTTTTGTTGTCTATAGCCTGTTCGGAGAAAAGGCAGTATTTACATTGCTCCCTAGGGACCCTGCCAGTGGCCACTCCTCAGATAGCCACTGGAGGTGCTTCCAGGGGCAGTGCTGCACAGTGTGCATCACTGACATTCAGTGTCTCCACACTCTTCATGTAGACTCTGAACTTTCCCCACAGAGATTAATTAATTTAATGCACCTCATTGACGATAATGCTTTTCTTATTGGCTGGGATCATCAATTCTGATTATGTCAGGCAATTCCCCCCAACATTGGCATCCTAAGAAGTAAGACGTTGGTAGGTGGCAACTAGAGGCGACAGGCCAATAATGCCACTGGCTCTGAGCAAAGGTGCAAACCTTTCTGGAAAGGGAGCAGGTCTGAATTACACAAGGTTGTTTACCGATCGATCAGACCAGTGCATTGAGGGCAGGACATACAGAGAGCATTGCTTCAGTGCTCCTTCCAGGGTCCAAGTGCCATGGGTGCAGTGCAAGCGTGACTAATAATGCACTTGGCTACACTACCTGTGGACAATTGCTTGGTGTCTCCCACCACAATGGGGTTAGTTGTGAGACATGGATGTAGGAACTTGTAATATAGTTATATAACTTTTAAAAATGTTGAAATTAGAAATCTCTTACTAGTGACCATAATATGAAATCAACCACATCAAGTGAGAAAAAATAAATTCACTAAAACTATACAATACAGTGGGACTTTGGTTTACGAATTTAATGCGTTCTCCGGGACGTTTCTTATTGCAAAAAATTTTTAAGCCGAAACGCGGTTTCCCATAGGAATGCATTGAAAACCAATTAATCTGTTCTAGAGGTCAGAAAAAAGTCTTTAGACATGATTGTCAGACCTCCTCCCTCCTCCCTTATCTGCAGGTTTGATTACAAAGCTATCATAATTTTTAAGATCTTTAATAGCATTTCTTTCTTTTTTAGTTAGGTTGTTGTAATCAAATATTTTGTATTTCATTTTATTTAAAGCTAGTGTTACTAATTTTCTTTTTAAATGTTTCAAGGCATCCAGATTTTTATGTAGAGTAAAAGACTATGTACTTGTGTTGTAGTTGGGTATGTATAGTTGTTGGAGATTCTTGAGTATTAGTAGAGTATTTAGGTGGAATGTAATAGCTTGCATAAAATCTTTTTTATGTAGCTCATCTGATGAATTTGTTAATGTTTATGAATGCTGAGTTTTGCATCATTAGAAATGCCTGCACTGTGCTGAGTAACTTTAGTGCACTAACACCATGGCTAGAGTGGTTCAGAAGCACTCCGTACAAGGTCTATGCTGTGTTGGGCTGGCCAGAGCACATGGCAGGATGACATGCCCCCTTTTGGCTATTATTATTATTATTATTATTTTATTAATTCCATAGCGCTGTACAAAGGCTATCCCACCTGCTCGTCCTCACTCCATGCACCCAGTGTTGGGAGATATGCTCATCGCTTAAGCTTTCTGTTCATACAATCATTATTATTAATTTGATGGAAGAACCATTGTTAGAGAATGTTTTTATCTGTGACAACTGTATAGTGCATTTGTACTATGACTTCCTGCTAACCAGCAATGAGCAGAGGCATTAAATATTTTGCGTATAAAAAAAGTACTTAGTGACAGTTTTAGTGGAGGAGAACACTCAATATTGAGTGAAAATACTTCAATTAAACATCTACACCTTCAACTCAGGCTTACTCAGTAAAAGCCTGTATTATACACACACAAAAAATAACAACCAAAGGTTCCATTAGTGGAGGAGGAGGACAGCTTGAGATTTATACACTAAACTTGAAACTTTAAGTGTCGAATAGAGATACCATGGTGTCCTGTAGAATATCCACATCATTACCTATACACTATTAAATATTAGCCAGAGTCTAGACATGTCCACCATGAGATCCATGTGAATTCTGAGTCATAATTCCATCAGTTTGTGTTTAACTTGATCATAACAAGTCTGAATTAAAGTGGAACTGTCACATCTGATATACTTGAATACACCAATAGCTAAATTTAAATTTAGCTATGGGATGTGTTGTGCCTTGTTTTTTTAATTCTGAGAGGGTTTTTATCTTTCAGTTTACATTGTATGTTTGGCTTCCATGGCACAGACAGAGCATACAATGTAAATTAACCCCTACATTTCCTGTAATGCAAATCCAGGTTGTGTACAGCACTATAGAAGGAATGTCTAAGTGCTCACGTGCATGTATTGCATCTCTCAACAAATGCGACAGCATGATGGGGCAATACAATAAGTTATATAGTATTAACTTAGCTATGGAAATAAGGAGAGTGACTTTTTATATAATATTTATATTCCACTCTCAAATTGACCGCTGTTTGTTTAATGGAAGAAAGATAATGCACTAATAATATGTAACTAAATTAATAAAAATACTCAACTTTAAAATTCATTAAACTGCTGCATACACAAGCAGAATCTGACATCCACCTTCCCAGACTAAGAATACACTGCACCAATCAGGAGCCTTTCATTTTGATCTGTTACCTATTCTTACCAAAGAAAACCCCGTCTTGCAGAGGTTAATGCTATATGTAGTATGGCCTCTGACAGCAGTTCCATTCATCACACAGGACAAAACAGGGTGATAGCAGCCATACAGCAGATACTATTAGTTGACATTCCTGTTCAGTTTCATGGACAGTGCTATGAGTAATGCTCATTTGAGTTGCATACAGCAGTGTCTTACACTTTGTCTGAGGGTGGGAAGAAGGGAGATGAATAATTTGCATGTGCAAAATGTGGATAGGAGTGTCAGTGAAAGACAAAGTATAGATTCCTCCTTTTGCAAATCAATGCCATAATTAATATCTGCGTCCCTGGGACCTGGGTCACCCTTACACCATAACCCACACGATGAATACAAGTTGTTATGGTGCTTGGAGTGTCCATTTAAGTCTGGTCATTTGCAGCATACTGAACGATAGCAAAGTTTTTTGCAGCATTACAGGTTTCCATCTACTTCTATAATGGCAAACTTTATGTTTTAATTATACAATGTTTTATTGTTATGTACACAAAGCCATTGTCATATTTCTTTCAGTTACCATACGTGATCCTAAAATACAGTACGTTCATCAACTTGAAACTAAAGGTTTACCCCTATTTAAATCTCATGTGTGTGTTTTCTACTCTGCACACAGAGAACAATAGTCCAAAAGAAATATGAGCTATTTGCTTTAAGATGCCTTATTAGACAGGGATTGAAATTTTGTTGGAGTTATAGCCTAAGCAGTGTGCACAAGGGCATACTTATGGGTGACATTGAGCCAGCTCTTAATATCACAGCATGGCATTCCTGCACTCGAAAGAAATACATTGGCTGAATTCCACTAAACAATATAATTTATGAATACCCATGCCTTCGGTACAACTTTGGCTTAATTGTAGCATAGCAACACAAAACCGAGCAATTATGCGCCTGCGGCTATGATGAATTTTGGCTACTTACAATTGCATATTGCTTTTACTAACCGCTTAAAGAAGTACTCTGTCTTTGTTGAATTCTAAATTATAAAGTTTTTGTTTTGTTTTTTAACTCTTTCACGAATGAGTAAGTTTGAATTGAAACAAATGAATCTATGGATTATTACCTGAAGAAAATAAAATTATGTAGAACGACTGTAGATTCATTTTATTTAATGTTAATGTATCCTTTGCAGAGGAGGTATTGAGCATTACATTATATAGGATGCCATTCTGCATGCAGGTGTGAAAAAAGTAATAATTACACATAGTACAGGCCAGTGGCTTTCGGAGCCTACACAATGGGGTCAAATGTGGCGTAGATATAACCAGATTGAAGCCCCAGTGGGCATGAAGGCTCTGCATCTGTTTCAATCCAATTTCCCATTCACAAACTTGCAATCTATTAAAATCAGATGCTAGGAAAATATGCCATATCCCAGTATTCTGTGTCTGTTATATTATAGAGCATTATCCTCATTGCATCTTTAGATTAAAGAAAATTGATCTTCTATAGATTGTGGCCCCAGACTGCTCATCATGACTGACCCTGGGTTTTATATAACAGGGCATTGTGTCAACCCATCAAAAGATTATAGAAGTTGTAACTTGCCTTCATTTAAAAATGTTATCAATTTCATGTAATAGTCCTCATATCATTAGACAATTTAGATTAATGGACAGTGTTGTATATTTATACAATCCACAAGAATCCACTTTTTAGGCAAGGTGATAATTGTATAAACAAGGAAAACTGTCCCCTCTGTATTTAGCTATATAACAGTGTTTTAAGAAATATAACCTATGTAGGCAATCACCTTCATTTTAATTATTTTCTTTTTTATAAACTGAGTGTGTCCACATTTCTTTGATTAGCACAGATACAGAATTGGATATTACACATTTACAGGGTTACTCATTAAGGTGAAACTTCAAAGTGAATTCAAAATGATGAAAAAAAGTGAAACTTCAAAGTGAATTCAAAATGATAAAAAAAAAAGTGCAGATGTCAATACAAATTGTCACTTTTATAAATTTCCCTTGTTCCAAGTAGACAACCGGTCTTGTTACTTCCTGTTTTGGTTAACTCAGTGGAGCTAAACTCAAGAGGAAACAATTTTCCAGAGCATCGGCCTTACAAAGAGCTCACATTGAGCTGCATCGGGAAGTCTGTGTCAGGGTGGCGGTCCGGTGCCCGGGACCCAGACACTGTCCGGGCGGCGGTGCGAGGACCGGGACCTAGTATGCCTGATGTTCAGAGTAGGAGTCACAGTGTGGAGGAGGATTAGCAGAGTCTGGTGCAGGGTAACCGCACGCCCCCTGGTGTTGAGCACCAGCATTTGCGCAGCAACATACCAGAGCCCTGATTCAGCTTATGCGGATCCCAGGAACCAGGAGCTTGATATGCAGACCTCCCAGGAACTGGATAGGGGGGCTCTGCAGCAGACATGTATCCAGTACAGAAACAAGGCAAGACTAGAGAGAGATAGGCACCATACATGAAAACAAGACAAAACTAGGAGAACCCAGAACCGGAGCAGCACAGAAAGCAGAACCTAGAACATGTATACAAGTCATGAGGAAAACAAGAACAGGGCAGGACAGGACTGTACATGAACTGGGAATAGAAGACAAAATAAAACAAGACAAGAGATACAAGGCAAAATAAGAGGAGACATAACTAAGCACTATATATGAAAAGTATGGGGATTTTAAGATAATAGAGGTATTTTAAGATAATACCAAAACTTCTTCAGTGTAGAGATGTGACAAAATATAGTGTGTTATCCTCACTACAACTGACAAAATATAGTGTGTTATCCTCACTACAACGTATCTCTCCCTTTATTTCTGAGTATACCACATCTCTACACTGAAGAAGTTTTGGTATTATCTTAAAATACCTCTACACATGAGATTTGAGCCTAAATTTAGCATACTCTTCACTCAGAAACTCAGAATAATTGTAGACGTCCAAATGGCACTGGGAGCGTGCTATCAAGGTTACCAAGTAATCCGTTTTCTCATTAGTACTCCCCCATGTTTCTTTACTTTTAAATTCCGTTCTATCTTCCTTTACCCTCTTCACACCCTCATGGCTTTTATCTGCAAAGGTTTAAAAGCCTAAAGAGCTTATCTATACAAATGATATATACTTCTAACATTGAACATGTTATGTTGCCATGACATTCCTTTGGATTATCCAGAATATTCACTGGCATCTTTATAACTATGTATTGCTTACTACATCTTTAATGGACTGAGTGGAAAAAATATATTTTACATATTAAATTGCAAAATACAATCCTGGCAGAGGTAATACTGTAATACCCACGAGATAATGAAGAAACAGAGTCATCATTTATTCGATACAGATAACATCAGAGGTTGACTAGAGGAGAGCTAAGTGTTTTAGAAAACATGCAATCTAATACAATATGGATAAGCTATAAAGGAATGATCTTTAAGTAGCTCTGGAATAGCAGACACATTTGGAAAGATGGTTTTTGTTTTTTTTATATACGGATTGAAGAAGCTCTTATATTTAGTTGTAAAGTGATTTGTTATCCGCATACTTGTTGGCCTCTCTGACCATTGTCGAAAATTAAAACTTGCACTTAAGACCCTTCCCCTGACTAATTTCATGAGATACCAGAATTATGTCTTCTTGAATTAGTCAGTATAATCCCTGTATTATTTCTGGAACTGACATCATGGATTTGCACACCCACTTAAAGGTCAATGGACTCAGAATCCTCTGCCTATTTGCTCATATGAAGATACGCTAAATTATTGCATTATATGTGTTTGACTAAAGATGCCTTAGTAATACACAATGTTTAATGTCTTCACCTAAAGGATGCTAACAGTTCTTGCAGTAGCGAAGGCTTGCAATTACACTGTTATATTTTTCATAGCATCAAAGAAATAATTAAAGTAGGGATTAGACTAATGTACAAATCACCTCTGCCGAAAAAAATCAAAAAAATCTGGACAGTTGAATATTGGCCATATGGGGATTTGGCAGAGATTAATTTTGTTAATGAAGAATGATTCTGGAAAACTAATTAGACTAACTTACTAAAATAAGTGAAAATGGGCTAATCAGTGTACTGCATATATACATAATATAAATATTTATTGTATATATTATGTATATACACTGAACACAATTATAAACGCAACACTTTTGTTTTTGCCCCCATTTTTTATGAGCTGAACTCAAAGATCTAAGCCTTTTTTCTATGTGCACAAAAGGCCTATTTCTCTCAAATATTGTTCACAAATCTGTCTAAATCTGTGTTAGTGAGCACTTCTCCTTTGCTGAGATAATTAATCCACCTTACAGGTGATGTATATCAAGATGCTGAATAGACAGCGTGATTATTGCAAAGGTGTGCCTAGGCTGGCCACAATAAAAGGCCACTCTAAAATGTGCAGAATGTTCGAAGTTAATCAGATTTCTGAAGAGTGGCAAAACGAGAGACAGGGAGGGGAAATTACGTGAATGATGACAGGAATCTTGACCAGTAAGCTAATTCCTTTTGTGCAATGGCGTACTATACTGTTCACGTCACATCACTGCTGCCAGCGGACCCTGAAGGACGTGCAAGAGCACAGTAAGTACTTTGCTCCCTCGCCGCCTGGCATGGGATGTTTGTCCCATGCAGTCTTGCACAGTCTCTACTGCACATGACTGCATCGGACAAACATCCTTAGCCAATTATTATATAGGATATATAAAGTAGACATGTGCAATTCATTTTGTTCCGAATGTACATTCGTACGAATTTCATGCCATTTGGAAGTTCCAAAGCGCCAAACCGAACCAAATGCCATTGGTCCGAATTGCAGAAGCAGAAACATTTTTTTACTTACCCGAATTTCCAAACCAAACTGAATTTTTGGCCCATGCACCTCACCCTGGTTATCATTTTTGGTGTCCAAGTGCCAGCCCTGCAATGTGTCCAAGTGCCAGCCCTGGTTATCATTTTTGGTGTCCAAGTGCCAGCCCTGCAATGTGCCTGCGGACCGGGGAGGGAGATCAGAGATCTCCCTCCCCGGTCCGCAGGCACTGTGCTGACAGCCGGCAGGAAGGGAGGGAGGACCCGGGAGCTCAGCCTGCAGCTCCTCCGGGTCCTCCTCTCTCGAGATTTAGAGCCGTGGCAACGCTCCAAATCACGCGAGAGTGAACTCTAGCCCTGGAGCGCGGGCTAGAGTTCACTCCTACCACTGGGACCACCAATAAATCCCCCACCGGACCACCAGGGACTAAGAAATGTCCCCCCTCCTCCCAGTAAAGGTAAGAAGGGAGGGGGATCTAATGAATATTTATTTTATTAAATAAAAAAAAATTATTATTAAAAAGCCTCGTTCCCCCCCCATACAAACACTGCCCCCCATACACACACACCGGGCCTCATACACACACACACTGCCCCCCCATACACACACACTGCCCCCATACTGCCCCCATACACACACACTGCCCCCATACTGTCCCCCATACACACACACCCCTCAGTTCCCATATACTGCCCCCCATACACACACACTGACCCCCTCATACACATACACTCAGTCTCCACAACACTGTCCCCGTACACACACTGCCTGACAAACACTGCCCCCATACACACTCTGCACACCCATACACACACAGACACATACAGTGCCCTACACACACAGCTGCCCCCCATACACACATTTCCCCACACACACGACCCCCCATACAGAGTATCCCTCCATACACACACTGCCCCACACATACATACAGTGCCCCCCATACACACACTGCCCCACACAGACATACAGTGCCCCCCATACACACACTGCCCCACAAACACTGTCCCCATACACACACTGCACACCCATACACACACAGACACATACAGTGCCCTACACACACTGCTGCCCCCCCATACACACATTGCCCCACACACACGACCCCCCATACACAGAGTGCCCCCCATACACA